GGGGGTGGGGGAAGCCACAGGCAAAATTTATCAACTCACTGGTGTACAGTGGGTTAGAGCCACAAAAAATCTTTCACATCAATCACTTTGTTCTGGAATCATGAGATGCATATATCATCTCCATAGCACAAAACAAGATGAACTCAGGAAAAGGGACGTGTTTGAGTCTACTTAGGACGCATTCAAAACTATGATCTAATCCAAAGTTCGGAATTCTTCTACTATATCAGAAGAGACTCTGCCACCTGGTGCTAAGAAAACTCTCTGACCTGCAGTGTAAACGGGAACTGGCTGTTAGACAACAGCATCCCTCTGTCTTTTTCCACTCTCCTCAACCTGCATATTGCCCTCCTGTAAGATCTTTTTCCATTTGAGGTTCCCAAAAGAGGGCCTTCAAACCCCAAACTCTGTTCTTTTTTTGTCTTTCACCACTCACTCCTACCCCATAGACCGGTTTTTCAGGTTACCCTTGGAGGAAGACCAACTCCCTAATCCCAACACCTATCTTTAAAAGCAAGTTGGAGCCCGGCTCGGTGGCTCAGCCTGTAATCCCGCGCCTTTGGGAGGCGGAGGTGAGTGGATTGCCTAAGCCCGCGGGTTCGAGACCCGCCTGGGCAACAAGACCTCATCTCTACAATAAATCAAAAAATTAGCCGGGCATGGTAGCGTGCGCCTGTTGTTCCAGCTACTTGGAAGGTTCTGAGGCGGGAGGATCGCCAGAGCCCAGCAGGTCGAGACTGTGGTGGCCGGCCTGGAGCAGCCACTGCACTCCAGTCTGGGCGACAGAGTGAGACTCCAACTCAAAAAAAAAAAAAAGCAAGTTTGGAGTGAACTCAGGATGTTTTAACCCCAGTGGTCTTGACTGTTTAATAGCTCAATCACCCAAAGATAATCTAATAGGAGAATTCAAGGTCTGCGGCCCACTTAAGGGAGAAAGTATTTTGGCCAAAGTATGGTATGTTCTGCTGACTGGAGACAAACTGGGTTCATGATGGTGCACTGACACTGGAACTAGATCCTTTTTCTTAGCTCCAGACCACTCCAAGATACAGTTTAGTGGTGGTCTGAGGGAAGACAGACCTCCCATGAGCCCCATCTTGTTACAGAGAGTCGACCCTAGGGTGCACTGCATTCTACAACACCAACACGGTCAGGCCCTGGGCTCCCTTTGGGTCACTCATTGACTCTGTGTGCTCTGCTGTAGGCATGTGTGAGAGGATACCAGCAGGGTTCTTGCTCCATAGAGTTTACAGTTCAGCAGGGAAGGCAGACAATCCAAGAAGAGTCATAAAATTGATTACAATGGAAAATTCTGGGTGATGGTTACACTATTCTGATTCAATTTGAAGAAGGAAAAATACAAAGTGCCATGAGTACACATAACAAGGAGACCTGACTACCCACAAGGAAGGTGATGTGTGCTCCACACTGAGGTAGAGCCCTGCAATGAATACACTGCCTTGTAGGTAGGTCTCACATTTGGGGGCAGTGGTGCAAAAATCTAGCTGGCCTAGATTTTTAATTAGAAGGGCCTAGTTAGTTGACTGTAAAGTCAGAGGGACAACCTAGGCTTAGGTGGCTCTTTGAATGACATTACTGTTAAGAAGCTCAAGCTTGTCTTCAGAACCTGGGAGTGCTACTCTGCTCAGGGCCTAAGGCCCTTCAGGTGACTGCATAGCTAGGGCCAGGGCTGAAGTGTACTTAACTTGCTTTGTGGAAAGAAACAATTTCTCTGGCTGACAAACATATTAACAGGGTGGGCTAGTTTCTGTTAGGTGGAAAAATTGCTTCATATCCCTGAGAATAATGATAGCATCCAAGATTGACTAGGTTGTGAAGTGATAACCAGGCATTTTACATATATTTTGTTTAATTCCTAAAATGACTCTATGACTCAGTTATTATCCCACATTTATACTTTTGTAATGAACATGGTAAAAATATTGAAAATGTACTAAAAGATACATAAGGAGAAAAGCCACCTTTTCACACCTGACCACCTGTCCTTCTGTTTCCCCTTGACAGAGGTAACCCTGCTTGTCTTTCTTGTGTCCTCCTAAAGGTGTTCTGTATATACACAAGCATATATGTTAAAAAAAAATTTTTTTTCTTGTACAACTGATAGTATAATTTGTGTAATAAATACACTGTTCTGCACCTTTTCTCTCAACATGTCTCTGAGATTAAAACATGTCTCTCATATTAAAACATATAGCTCTGCCGCATTCCTCTACCATTGCAGGGTATTCCACTGTGTGGCTAAACTATCATTTATCCAAATTTCTATTAATGGATATTGGGCAGTTTCCATCCTTTTGATACTACAGCCAATGCCATAAATATCTTTGTTAATGCCTCATAAAGCTTTTTTTTTTTTTTTTTTTGAGTTGGAGTCTCACTCTGTCGCCCAGCCTGGAGTGCAGTGACATGCTTCGGGCCACCACAGTCTCGACCTGCTGTGCTCCGGCGATCCTTCCACCTCAGCCTTCCAAGTAGCTGGAACTACAGGCGTACGCTACCATGCCCGGCTAATTTTTTATTTTATTGTAGGGATGAGGTCTCTGCCTCCCAAAGCGTGGATTACAGGCTGAGACACCGAGCCCAGCATAAAGCTTTTAGTTAACTTAAATTGTAGAATTGAAGCAATGGAAATATTCCATTAAACATAACTTGGAATAATATTTCGGATATATTTAGGTTAAAGAAAGTATTGAAATTAATTTAGGCTGGGCTCGGTGGCTCAGCCTGTAATCCCGCGCCTTTGGGAGGTTGAGGTGAGTGGAATTGTCTGAGCCCGCAGGTTCGAGACCCGCCTGGGCAACTTGGCAAGACCTCATCTCTACAATAAATCAAAATTAGCCAGACGAGGT